GTTTCCTTCTTGATAACAGCCGCAATTAGATCATTCACTTGCTGGGACTTAGTAGGATTTCCACTGCCAACACCCCCAATAACAGTCCACTTTTGCAGCTTGTTTGGCATGAAATAGGATATCGCCTTCTTGTAGTAAACAAGGGATGAAGATCGTCCTTCAGTAGGATTATCATCGACACCAGGATCCTCCCGACCATAGACTTTCTTTGCAAAGAACCTGTAGATATGATCTGGTGTTAGGACACTCAGCTGTTCCGCTGTGAATAAAGTATCATTCGGAAATCGATTATCGCCATTGGGTCCTCCTTCATCCACTCGTCCATGTACATGATCCATTAACTCAAGCAGAACCTTATGGTATCTTCCCCATTGCCCTGGCTGGTTCACGTCTCGTGGAGGCGTTACAGTTCCCCCCCTTCTTTTTCGAGCCTGGGGACGACGCTGTGCCTGTTGAGCTGTTACCATTGGTTGTTGTTTGCTTGTTGCTGCTGTTTTTTGTATGCGATACTCGTATGATGCGATACTCGTATGCGATACTCGTATGCGATAGTACTCGTCGTATGCAAATAGTACTCGTCTGCGATACTCCTCGTATGCGGGCGTTGCTGTTATTTTGTGAGCAAAAAATGCACCTCTCGTGAGTCGGGGGCTGTGCTGTGCTGCTCTTATTCGATACTGCTGCTGGTGGTGGTGGTGGTGGTGTGCTGTGCTGCTGTTTTTCAATACTTACTACAGTAGTAGTTGCTCCTTGTTCTTCTTGCTTGGGGTTTTGCTTGAACCGGTACTCGTATTCGTATGCGTTGGTTTCTTATTTTGTGAGCAAAAAATGCACCTCTCGTGACGAGGCAAAAAGGAGTTGCAAAATTGTTGCATACTCAGTGTAAATTGCTCTGTGTTAGGCAACCAAAAGAGGTACGGATGCGACCACAGCAGAAAAGCCAATACGGTTGCACAGTAGAAWTCCTACCAGAATTTATGTAGAAMATGTRAGTACGGTGGTAAATGGAGTGGGATCAGTTGGKGTATTATAGCCTACGTAGAAAKGTACGTATTTTAAGTACCGATAGACTCCTTCGACCGTTTTGCAATATCGGTTGCAAAAATGGGGTACTAGTACCGTACCGTACGTACCGTAGGGCGCCGTTGGGGCTACATGGCTACATACTACCGTAAATACGTGGGTTAGGTGTTGATTTTTTTTTGTGTTTGGTGTTTGATGGGTTGTTTGACTTGTACCGGTACGTACGAGTACGTACCCTTTACCGTACCGTAGTAGGGGACCGCGCGATTGTTCGTTTATCAGAGCAGGGTTCGTAGTTGCATCACATTCCTTACGTTCAGGAACACCTTTGACGCACTGTGGCGACCCTAGCTTCGACAAGGTCTCTCTGGCATTCTTTCAAGGGCTATCTTCTTAACTTTGTTCTTCGACGTACCATGACTTATTTGTTGCTGTCGGCATTGCTCTTTCACCAATTTTCATCCACCCATGTAGGTGTACACGGTTTTTCGACTTCAACGCCTGCGACATGGAACCGGCACAATGTCGATGCCAGAAGCAGGAACCAGGACGAGCGCCACCGTCTCTACGACGCCATGCCCTCGCTGTATCAGGAGCAGGAACGCCTGTTGGTCGATCGAGGAAAGTTCGAATCGGGTCTGATGGAAAACAACGCGTCTCCCATATCTCCTAGCGTGAGCAAGGGCACAGGTGCCGCCAAGGGCTTCGCCGCGTCGTCGGGAATGAAAGCGTCCGATCTCAAGGCCGCCGCGAAGGTTCACGCAAAGGAGCTGCGAAAATCCGGAGTGGTCCGGATCGACGACATTTTTCCGTCCGACACCGCCGACGAATTGCGGGAGTACGTGGTGGGTTTGAGGGAACGATCCGAGGAGCAGGTACGCAATGGAGAGGTAAAGCCGATTGCCCGGTTTGCGGACGTTCTGCTGAAAGAGAACCGATGCGATCTGACGATTCCCTTGGAGGACGATGTCGTCGTGGACGCATTGTTGCACGTGTTTCAGAAAACCCCCGTGGGCAAAATGATGTCTTCGATGCTCGGGAAGCAGGCTGCGCTGTACGAGCTGTCTTGTTTGATAAGCGACACCGGGAGCAACCGGCAGGTCGTCCACCCCGATACGCCTTGCAAACCCGACCAAGACGCAGTCCTCTATACCTGCTTCATCGCACTCCAGGATATTGATCTCACCATGGGGCCAACGACGTGGCTACCAAATACCCACACACCATCGGCGCACGAGCTGTTCCAGGACGATTACGTGGGTTCTTCCGGGGGCGAATCATCCAAGGACAAGCTGCTTCGGACAACACCGTCGGTGCTCGGATTGTTGCCGAAGGGTTCCTGCGCAATCTTTGATTCGAGGCTGTTGCATTGTGGGGGGGCGAACACGTCCGATACGAGCCGGGCCCTGTTTTATTTTAGCTTCAAGAACTCGAAAATTGGGTATCCCGGAAACCCCGGTAGCATCAGGCCCGAGCTTTCCTCGAAGTACACGATAACCTCGCTCGAAGCAGAATTGAAGCAACTGAAAAAGAAGAGGTGACAATGAAAATGATGCACCAAAATGGGGTACGAATGAATGGGAAACACCTGTTTTGAGCTAAGCACGAAATATATAAAATTTCGCGATGCGATGGAACTTGCATCTTCTACAACACCAATAGCTACAATTCTTGAAAATTGAATTACATCCAAGAATAATCTCTTTTTAGCTAGGTCTATTACGATGAAATACTGTTTAAAAGAAAGCCAGGTACGCAATACTCTAGCATGAGCTTCGAGCATGCGATTGCATAGTTTGCCTCCGTTGACGTTCCATTATTTGGTTTCGTTCCGTTCTTTAGGACATATTCCTTGCATTCCTGGTGGTTTGAACCTTCCTTCTTTTTGGCTGTTGTCTAGCATTCACAGAGACATTCATAGAGATCTCGGATGGTCCCTAGGGTACGGTGCATCTCACAACTCGCCGGAGGCGGTAGTTTCTTTCTGCCCGGAAGACGGATGAAGGACGGACGATAATCGCACCCCAGATTACAAAGGTCGTGTGGGTCGAATTGCGCTGGGGATGCAACGTGCCCCAAACACGATTCGAACCAGGAAAGGAGGAACCGACCGAAACGGAAGGTAAACAGGTAAACAAGCATTGCGAAGTCGACACGGAACCAACCAGCAAACAAAACCATCGCACCGGCAGACATCTCTCTGTCAAACCCACGCAAACGCAAACGCACCGAAACGAAACGAATCGAAACGAGCGAAGCCTGCATTCCAACCGGGTCCGTCCACACAAAACGCCCGATCCACCTCCGTGCGCGAAAGCCTTCCTTACCATCCAACAACCATGTCTTGTTCTGCCATCCGAAAGAGTCCCGATTCGATGCACGCGGCCGCGGCTCCCGTTCGCGTTGCTGCTCCACCGCCACCCCACTCGCACTACTTCGAAGAGTCCGGGCCGCCGATCGGAGCGGGCTCCGAGAAGCTCCACACGAAACGCCAGGTCAAGGGCGCCGCGGTCGCGGGAGGGGTCACCGGCCTCGTCCTGCTCGGGCCGGCCGCCGGATTGCTCGCGGCGGGCGGCGCCGCCCTGGCGACAACCAAGGGCCGGGGCAAGCTCGGAAGGGCCGCGAGGGCGACCGGGGATTCCGTGTCGGACCTCGGGAGGAGCGCCAAGAAGTTCGACCAAAAGCACGGCGTCCGGGAGAAGACCTCCAGGGGAATCGCAAAGGGGTGCGACTGGATCTCGAAAAAACTGGACAAGGGCAAGGAAGCAACACGGAAGCCATACTAGCTAGTAATGCCCCGAGGAGTTGGCTGCGCAGGCCGGTGGTTTGGCCTTTTCCCATCGCACGATTTGAAACCGTTGGGAGAAGGTGTTTTGCTTTGAGTCGGGTGTTTTGCTTTGAGTCGGCATGGTACACTTCGTGATTTAATAATATTTTTTTTAATGTCAAAACTTGAACCGAATGAATAGTGAACCGATCGATCCATCCATCCATCCATCCATCGATCCATCCATCGTCGTCAAGTCAACCGACCGATCAGTCCGTCTTGGAAGATCCAACGGTGCCGCCCTGGAAGAACAGTTTGTACTCCTTGAGCAGCTTGTGGGCCCGTGACGCGATTTTTTGCTTCCTCGAAGGCTTGTCGTCGTCGTCCTTGTCCTTGCTGCTTCTGCTTCTGCTGTCGTCCCTCTCCCCGTCGTCCCTGGAATCCTCGCCGGAAGATTCCCCGGGGGTCCTTGTGGGTTCCGACCGCCTCGACACCGCCGCCGCGATCTCGTCGAGCCGATCCGAAACGTCGTCCCCGACGAGGCTCCGAAAGGCCGCGGAGATGGAAGGGAGGCTAGCCACCAGGGCCAGGAGCCGGCCCCATTCCCCGACCACGCGCCCGGCATCGGCATCGCTGCCGTCGTCGTCGCCGCCTTCCAGGGCCCGGACCACCCACCGGCAGAGCTCCGACCAGGCCTTTCGGCACACCTCGCCGCACTCGTCCCGGGCGAGGGGCTTTGGTGGAGGGGCCCCCGGTTTCCGCAGGACCAGCCGCCCGGAAGCGGCCCCGGGTTCCCCGGACTGGTGCCACCCGTAGAGGTTCCAGAGGACGCACTCGACGCAGTGCGGGGGAGAAACGGATCCGGAGGGACCCCTTCCGGGCGCGTAGGACCGGACGATCCGCTCGCTGCCGGGGCAGCGAAAGACGTACTTGCCGACGATCTTCGGATAGGCAACGCACAGACCCCAGAGGGCGTGGTGGAGTCCCAGCAGGCTCCCGGGAAGGGCACCCCCGCAAGGGGGTTCCGCCAGCACCAGGACCTGCCGGAGCAACCCCGAGTTCAGGAGGGCCTGCGGAACGGAAGAGCCCGCGTAGCAGGCAGAAGCCGAAAGGTTCCTCCGGCCCGAAGCACCCTCGTAGCCGATCCCCGAGAGGCTCTCCAGGATCGGTGCCAGCGTGTCCGGGAGGTTGGCCCGGTAGTGGGCCAGCCCCCGCTGCACCACGTGCTCCAGGTCGTTGGACGCGTCCACCACCGCCTCGATGGTGGCACGGGTGGCCGGCACCGCTGCCGCACACCACGCCGACAGGGACGAGAGGCCGACGATCGAGGGCAGGCAGAGGTCGATGGCGTCCTTCGACCTCTGGTGGTGCGCGCCGACGTCCTCCAGGTAGGCCCGGTCCGTTCCCAAGAGGGTTTGGAGGACCTCCAGGTAGGCCTGCTCGCAATCGGTCCTTGAAGACCCGGTCGTTTGGCCCTTGCGGTGGCAGGCAGCCGCGTCCCGCAGAATCCACAGCGGGGACAGCACCGCCGAGTCCATGGACGCGTCCAGGAGGTCCTCGCCGTTCGCTTCGGTTTTCTCGCTCCCCAAGGGCTTCCTCGGCCGGAGCAGCACCAGGACCAGCTGCTTCAGCAGGGAGACGTGCCTCGCCGTTTCCCCCTTGGGAAGCCCAAAGACGGGTTCCAGGAGCGCGTAGGTCCCGAGCCGGAGGAGGGACCCGATGGCCTCCCTGGCCTGGGCCGGGGTCCGGTCCGGGTCCGGCAGGGAGAGGCGCTTGGGGTCCAGCCAGTCGGTGTCGGAATGGTCCTGCGGCGCCCGGTCCGGGAACGCGTCGTATGAATCCCCCTCTCCGTAGTCGTAGTCGGAGGGATCCGACTCGGCCGCCCACACCTCGTCGCCGTACGGATCTTGTTGTTGCTGTTGCTGTTGCTGCGGAGTTGCATTCGGGCCATCGCCGGGCTCGTCCCCGCCGTCGTTTTCCTTTGCTTCTTCGCTGCCGGCGGCGTGGCGGAGAAGGGTTTGTTGGTCGTCTTGGTTGCTGCTGCGAGGTGCCACCTCCCCCGCAAACCTCGGGGCAGAACAAGCGGCGTCCCCGGGCGCTGCTTGGTAGGAACCGAGGCAGGCCCGGATCCTTCCCATGCGCTCCTCCGACAGGGAGCTGCCCTTGCAGCATTCCAGCGGGATCTCGACCGCGGCGCAAAAGGCCAGCCTGGCCATTGCGACCTGGATCGCCGAGTGGCTCGGCCGGTTCCTTTCGGCGGCAGCGGTGAGGTCGTGGTCGTTTCCGTTTCCGTTCTTGGTGGTGGCGTCGATGTCGATGTCGATGCCGCCGGCCTGCCCCGGTTTCGGGGCCTTCCGCTGGCAGAGATAGACGATCCCGTTGACGAGCCGGTTGGAGAGCGCGTAGGGCGACGAGGGTGCCCCGAGCTTCCGGGCCAGGGACGCCGCGGCCAAAGGGAGATTCGGCACGTGGTCGACCAGGGGCTCGTCGAAGACCAGGGCCCGGTAGAGGTCGTCTACGGACCCGTCCGTCCCCGCCCGTGGTGCCGATGACGATCCCGATGACGATGGCGTGCTCCCGCGCCGGCGCTCGGTCTCGCGGTCCTCTCGTTCCCGGAGGGCGGCAGCGATTTCCACCGCGAAGCGGCGGAGAAAGTCGTCGGCGTCGGCCATGGTGCCGGGTGGGAGTGGTGCGGTGTGGTGTGGTGTGGTGTGGTGTGGTGTGGNGGTGTGGTGTGGTGTGGTGTGGTGTGGTGTGGCGTGGCGTTGCACAGCGCACAATGGAACCAATCGCGATCGCTGGGGAACGGGTTCCGGATGGCTTGCTGGGGGATTCCCTCGCAAGTCTCGAACAGGCATTTCCTGTTGGAAGCGGCAGAGAGGCTTGCAAGGTATCATCATACCGTACCGTACGGTACGGTACCGTACAATACGCGTGCTCGTACGAGTTGTACAACAAATGTACCGTACAGTACGATACCAAGTACGAGTTCGTGCCGGTGTGTGAATCGGAGTTCACTTGACGACGGGGGGGGGAGGTGTGAGAAAGAAACGTTGACGGCAAAAGGACGAACGACGGCTTTCGCAAGTGTGAATCGAACGAATCAAAATCAGTCGAACCAGTCGTGCATGGTCCAGGGGGATGGAGGGTGGAGGGTGTTCCGGTTTTCCAGCGGTACAGTACGAGTTCATACTGTACGTATCGTACATTACTAACCTACCGTAGGAATACATTCCTCTTACGATGCGAACCCATCGATCCTTTCCTTCCTGCGCAGCGAGAGAGGAGAGAGGTCTTCCTTTTCGTCCGTCGGTCTTGTCTTTTTGGCTGTCGTCTCAGTAAGTACCGGTACTAGTACGTACGGTTTAGTAAAGATAGCTTACCGTCCTCGTAGTACGAAGTACCGGCAATAAGAAGTATTTGCGATTCGCTCCGTTGCGTTGCGTCGGACTTTGCAGTCCACTCCGAGGTGCACGAGTGACAACTCCGATTCCCGTTGCCCGCGAATTGTCGCAGGATGGTTCCGATTGGTCCAACCCGCGACACCGCTTCCCTTGAAACCCCGAGAACCGATTTCCCACGGCATCAACGTGCAGGTAGGTACTGTAGCGTACGGTTGTATCGTAGGCTTCGCTACGGAATTCACGATTGGGCGAGACACTTTCCAATCAAATCAATCCATCAAAACCCCGATCAGCGAGATCGCATTCCATGTTCCTCCCCTTCGTGCAGAGGCACCGCTCCGTAGAACGCGGTACAATGTGATGTGCTGTGACCCATGCCATGCCATCACCAAATCACGTTTACGACCTCTCGAACTACGGAGTTTTGCTACGGCACTTGGGTACGTACTCGTATCGTACGTACTGTTGAACGAGCACTCCAACGGCGACGTCGGTGCGATTTTTCTGGTCTTGGGAACCTGCCGAAAACATACATAAATTTTCGCCTCTTTCTCACTCGTGTCAATGCTGCACGGCGCATTCCGTTTCACAGAGAGGGAAGTTGTTGCCATCAGACACCAAGGGATCACAAAACAAATTACGGCACCAAACCAAACCAAACCAAATCTACCCATCCTAACAAACATAAAAAGCAGCAAACCCAAACAAACAAACAAACAAACAACACCAACACCAACACAAACACAAACACCAACACCAACACCACCATGCTTTCCCCGAGATCCACCATCGCCGCCGCCCTGCTCGTCCTCCTGCTCGCCGTCGATCCCTCGCACGGACTGGCGGGCGTCGTGAACCGCTTCCGCAGGAGCGCCCCCTGGGGCCGGGCCGTTGCCCGGCAGAGGCGAACCAGCACGAGCACCACCAGCGGAGTTGGCCTCCCCGTCCGGGCGGCCGTGGCCAAGCAGGGACTGCTCACCGAGCCAGAGCCAGAGCTCTCCCCGCACCCGCCCGGTTCCACTCCCTTTGACGCCGACGCCTACCGCCAGCAGATGACCGATCTGGTCTATCAGCGAAGCATGGAGCGAATCTTCCGCGACTGAACGCGAGCCGGCACACCGAAACACACCACACCACAAACTACAGAACGATCCCAGCGCGCAACGACTCGACTCGAGGAGCTCCCTACGCACTATCGGAAGGGAATAGTGTACCCCAACCATGGGCTCCTTTCTTTTTGAAACGCTACGAGCAACGTTGTTGTTATTTTTAGAGAGACTAGAACCATAGAAGCATATGACATAAATATAAAACATAGAATCAAAACCAACACACATAAAAACAATCTTAGAGCTATGTTGAACCCCGTGAACTAGTAGAATAGGCGCTATGACGGCCAGAATCAGGCCGTCTGATATACTTGGAGGTAATACAACAGCAAAGTGGTGGAAGCTGCAGATAGAAAGGTTTCAGGATCCTGTGGGAATAGGTGGACATGAGAGGGACATGTTTTTGTGGCTGCAGGCAGGGCTTACAAGTTGCAGATTGTCATTATAGTAGCGCTTGTTTTTGAGAAACAAGGGTGTGCCCACGAAGTTCTTTGTGTCAACTTTCCCAGCATGACATGTAGGCATTGAGAAAGAACTCAACTAAATAACTCCCCAGCACAATTGGAGAATGAGAGCTAGAACAAAGAGGATCAGGGTCAGTGATTCACTAAAGTGAAAGATGGCCAAAACGGATAGCAGGGTGAAGAGTTTTGGGAAATTTCTCTGGTGAAACAGTGTCAGCAATCATATCCAATCATTCAGTAATGCAACTTGCAAGAGTACTATCAGTGACAATCAATTCAAAGCCAAGTGTTGACATCCATAGCAGCAAAGAGTTGACTATATGTGTGGAATGAAACATGAATCAGTGGGGGCTTTCTTGAATTGGCTAGAGATAGACCATTGAATCTGAGAGACAGCAGGACAGCGAGGTAGAACTGGTGTGATGAAATATGGTCTATTCATCTTGCTATGATGGTTGTCACCAGCATACTATTGATCATCTTTTGAGCTGAGCCTTCTAAGGGAGTCTATGGAAATCAGTATTATTTTCTTGGCAGCCTTGTTCAACCTGAGAAAAGGAAAGAAGAAATATGTGGTGGCTATTGCACAGTTTGAAAAATTTGTTCAATTAAGTCAAATTCTGGTGTCGTTGTGGCAGTTGCATACACTTCTTTGCATTCATGTCTGGAGTGAATTCTGGCCATGAGTTCCTTGATGTCACCAAGATCTTCAAGCTGTGGGGGGGAATGCCACACTGGAAGATGTATCGGAAACAAATTAGACTTTTGCCAAGATGGGTCAGAGGTTTTGGGGATGTAATGACATGTGGGTTTTTTTTGCATGGGACACTGGTGGTTACTCCTCGTCTGTTACTAACTATTTTTTGCCCCCTAATTTTTAGTTTATTTTTGGGGTTTTGTACCTATTCTGTACCCCTCAATGAACATATTTTGTGAGTGATAATAACATGTGGGTTTAAATCCAGGGGGTTGGTTTTACTACTAGTAGTATCTCTCTTGTCAATTTTTTTCAAAAAAATTCTTGTGCCAATTTATTTTCATTCACATTTGGATATTTGGAGTGCAATTTATGTTGTTTTAATTCCATGGTAGAAAAGATTGAGTGAAGTTCCAATTTATTTCAATTCTGTTTTTGGTGTGGTTGAGTTCAAGTTTTTGCATCAGAGTCCCATGGTACAACTTTCAAACCATATTTTGGTTTACTTCAATAATAATTTTCAATGCTTTGTTCTCTCAACTGGCCAAGCAAGATTCATGCATTTAGGTTTCAGCACCATTTATGTTGAATTACATTCCATTTGTTTATAATTAATTTTGGCTACTGTTTTCATGGATTCTCACAAGCATTAGTAGTTGAAATATTATTTTGAGGATATGGTTCACAAGAGACTCAGCACCACTGGGGCTGACATTTTCAGGCACAAGCAAAAGAATCAGTTCAGATAATGCTTACATCCCCTCATAAAGACTCAGCAGCCAAAGAATTTGCTACACTGTTCCCCAGGGAAGGCAACGCTTGTGAATTAAACACATAGTGCTGCCACTGTCTAAAGAACTCAAAAAGTGTTCATCACAAGGATTCCTTGGATTGCCTTGGATACCAGTATCACAACTGGAAGTAAATCTGGATTCAATGCTCTTAAAGTTGCTGACGTTGCGTTCTTGAGGGCATCTTCATCAAGGCCAAACAATTCTAAACTTGCTTCCAGTGAATTAGTAGTTGGGGCCGGAGGCAGTCCTAAGTATGTCTCCCTGCGTTCCAGCACTTGCTCCTGTTCCTGTGATTGTCACCTAATGCTGGTTAGGACCCTGGAAGTGGACTGTTGGTGGGGAATTATTTGTCAGAATGCTTTATTGTACTGAGACATGGCTTGTTGGCAGGCCACTGGAAGAACCACTCTGCACTGGAGCGAGTTGGTGGTAGGTCTGAGGTTGCTGTTGTTGTTGAACTGGAATCAATGTTCCCTCTGCACCAGTAAGTTGGTAGGTGCCCGGTATAGTCAGGAGTGTTACAAAGAGCACTGTTGTTTGTGTTGTTCAAGTTCCCATTTGAGTTTCCCTGGTTGCTTCCCCAACCATTACCACGATACTAGTTGTTTATTCTTCTATTGAAAGGACAGTTTCCCCAGGTGTGCTTCCCATTGTGTTTCCTGCAGGGGGCCTCATTAATCTTTCTTCTTCTTTCCTTTTGCTCTTTGGTGATTCTCCTTTGTGTTCCATTCTTTTCCTTTCTTTCCCTTATGTTCTTTCAAGTTGTTTGCTGCTGCACAAAATAACGTATACTAAAGAATTGTTTTAGTAGTAGTAGTAGTAGTAGTAGTAGTAGTAGTAGTAGTAGTAGTACTACTACTACTACTAGTAGTAGTACTAGTAGTAGTAGTAGTAGTAGTANTAGTAGTAGTACTAGTAGTAGTAGTAGTAGTAGTACTAGTAGTAGTAGTAGTAGTAGTAGTAGTAGTACTAGTACTACTACTACTACTAGTACTAGTACTAGTACTACTACTACTACTACTACTACTACTACTACTACTAATACTAGTAGTAGTACTAGTAGTACCAGTAGTAGTATTTAGATTGTATCTAAATTAGGATTGTGAGACTAAAACTAATGGGAAATACTAGTTAACTCAAGGAATCCATTGATTTATATGCTTTCCCATGTTATACTGGATTCATTGAGTTAGAATCGATAGTAGAAATATACATCCAAGCAGTACAAGTCAAGTGTGGATTCAGTTCCTTAGTTCTCGGATGGTGTAGGTCTTCGTACTGATTGTACTGAGTAGTTCTGTTCTGAATTCTCCTTCTGAGAACTATATATACATGTGTATATAGTGATGCTTCATGTATATAGTAGTGACGCTTCGATTTTGTGTAGTATATATATAGTATCTAGTATAGTATCTAGTACTCATACAATCGTACTCAACTAGTAGTACTATATAGTTTCTGATCTATATATGTATAGTTATTGGTCCCAGGGACTCATGATTGGATCCTCCATACTGTTCCTACAGTACTCATTGCAGCTGCTCTCTTCCTTGATTGGTTGCTTTCATTCTCATCTGCTATTCCCCTTTTGTTTGTCATGAAGTGCACTAATTCTTTAGTGCTGGAATCATTGATGATGTCTCTTCCCCCACACTGATGTATTTACTAGTAACCTGAAAAGAAATTCCTTTATTTCCCTCTGAGATAGTAGCGACTGTCAAATGCAACAAAGGAGGTTGGCTCTGGTGCAACAAGTTAAAACATTTTACCTTGTTGCTGCAATACTTCAAGAATGAGTGCAAGGCTTGTTAGTAGCTACTAGCATGGTGGGCATGTAATTTGACAATGTCAATTTGCCTTCTTAAGTCTGTCCGTTGCTCCCAACATTCTCTTACTGTACTTTGTAATACATTACTCATTACCTATTCCAGATTTGTGCCACACACTTGCCTTCCAATAGGGGTACGTAACTGTGAACAAGAAGCACTCGATATTTGATACAGCATTCACGAGCACGGTACGGTATGTGACTGATATGCATAGATACGGATGGCCAATGTTCCTGAGAGGACTCCTAATGTCAAGCGCACTAAAGTCAAGTACTTGGCAATTCCTTGGGTGTCAATTTTTTTTATTTTCCCGTCTTCTTTATTTCTCGTCCTCTCCCTCCTCCACGAAAAAAAGTAGAAGTCCGAAAATATTTCTATACTTGGTACTTACTACTGAGAATATCAAATCAGTGCTTATCTCAAGTATTAAGGACCACTAATAGAAATATTTTGKGACTAGCRAGAAATTAAACAATKGAAATATTTTTATTTTCGTCCATTGGATGCCTTTTTTTAACTGWAAAAATGAGCTAAAAATTTCTATTAGTATTTGTACGGGGATTGCCAAGTACTTGACTTTAGTGCGCTTGACATAAGGAGTCCTCGTTCCTGAGATTGTGAAAGCGCCCTTCGGAATTCTTTACCAAGTAGAAACTACGGTACTGTAATACTGTATTGAGATAGTAGGGGGAATTGCCTTGCAATTGCTCAGTTGGCAGGCAATCATTCTACCGGTAGGGTCCTACGGTACATGAAATAAGCGACGGAAGGTGTTGAGGAACAGTAACCCGGATGTATGCAAGCGAACCGTAACGGTCACTAGCGAACCCTACGCTCTAAATAACCAATGACGTGGCATCACCAATTTATGGTAAATACGTGTGGAATGAGAAAAAGCGAGTGACATTGAGAAAATGACCCAAGGGCAGGATATGATGACCAGAGGGTAGATAAAAGAGAATTCTCATTCTTTATAGTTTTATTCAGTTAATAGTGTGATTGACACTTTAAGACTTTCCGCGTACGTCAGTTTAACGATCATGCGTGTGAATTCAGCATAAAACTATAAAGAATCGACAGCGAAAATGAACGATACAGTGAAACAAAGTGAAAGTGCAAAGATTCCAGATGAATCAAGATCCTCTGAYTCCGTTGGCGGAGGAGCCACCAATGCAACATGGCGGCATAGACAACGAGGTGGGAGGAAGAGATACAGCAAACCAGCTCCCACTAAGCCAATCTTCAAAGGAAGATGCGATGATTTGGAAGGGTTCATCTTCGACATTGGACCACAACAGGCCACCAAATACACAAAGACTACGACAGAGATAATCCAGTATGCCGGAAAGAAATACGGCGCCGACGTCCGGAGAGCTATCAAGAACATGGAATGCATGCGTGGCGAACTAATGAGTAGCATTCCGGTGCTTCCACCTGTCGCCGAAGACGCAGCAGGAACCGACATGGAAGCAATAATCAATAAGGAAATGGCAAGGAGACATATTATAAAGGTCATGCAGTATGATGAGGACATGAGAAGGATGTACAGCATTGTACTTGGACAATGTACTGAGGCCATGCTCCAAAAAATAAGCACCCACGCTAGCTCCCAAGCAGTGGAGCTTAAAGCCGATGTGATAGGACTACTCAAGATAATAAAGAAAATATGCTACAGATACGAGGCGCAACAGTTCCCACCATTGGCAGCAACAAGATCCCTAATGGCCCTGATAAAGACAAAGCAAGGGGACTTAATGACAGACATTGAATGGTACGAACAGTTTGAAAACCTCGTAACCGCAGCCGTTGCATGCGGTGCGGATTTCCAACTACCCGGTATACAAGGGTATATCATGGAACAATATTATGAGCAAAGAACAGTTCAATCACTCACGGAGGCTGAAAGGATCGATATAACAAAGAAGACAAGCGACATGACCCTCGCGACTATATATATCGAAAATAGCAATCACAGCAGATATGGGAACATCAAACAGAAACTAGAGAACGATTACCTGATGGGACACAATAACTATCCTACGGACCTAACTGAAGCACAGAACATACTTGTGAATTATAAACAGGAAGGCAGATATACGCCCAAGAAAGCAGGCGGGGATGGAATAGCGTTCCTACAGGATGGCAAAGGAACACAGTCGACCAAYAA